TATTAGGGCCTCCACAATATTTAAGGATCACTCTAAATAATTGCATTCATATTTGCATGTCATGAGGAGAAGCTCTTGTGCTTCTCCAACCTTACTGGTCGAGCATACCATTTTATATATAAGTTGTTCTCTAGTGCGTCTAGGGTGTTAGAAGGCTCCCCAACCCATATGAGATATAAGTCCTTTTGTTGGGAGTGTTTCTAGCTGTGTAGATGAACCTCTACTTCTCTCATTTCTTGAGGCATCCTTGCCACTTCGACGGGCATAAGTCTCATCTCTTAGAGTTCTAGCTTACAGTCATATGATAGAGTTTTCTTCCTTTGACCTTAGAGCTATTGAGATCCTCATGGATGACGCAATTCACAAATTGCTGACCGGGGATCTCTGGATGTGTTGGGATGACTACTTTCACGATCGGGTATAGTTAAGGTCGTACTGGCTATGTATGATGGTTCTGTGGTAACTCGACTCAGCTACCTCTACCTTCTAGGATTACTCTATCTTCCTTTTGTTGAGTCCCTTTGAGCCCTGTCACTCCGTGAATTTGTTGATATCACCTCAACGAACATCGCCATGCTTGAGTTGCAAGGAGCACCAATTTCCATATAGTTGGAATTGTCAAACTGAAAAACAAAAGGGACAAATGAAACACTCCTTGAAGAAACTTCAAGTTTGGCACAAAATCAAGAAGAGATAACTGAAGTTAACTTGCAAAGTGACAAAGTAATACCCCCAATAATGTCTCCCAAAGAAAAAGGAAAATAAGTGGTTGTGCCCGAGGAAATGATGCCACATAAGAAAGACTGATTCAAGAAAACACCGACAACTCTCACAACAAAGTGAACTGCAACGTTCTAGCCCATTCGATGAAAATACAAGAAAAGTTAAACATTTTACGATGCTCTAGTCCTCTCCAAGAAAATGAGGGAAACATTAATAAAAACTCTCTTGGATTCTGAGATCCTTTTAGCTCAAATTGCTAGTAATTCCTCTGATGAGGCTTACCTGTTGAAAGGACAGACCAAGCTCGCATTCTTTGATGATGATCTATTATTGGGAACAACTGAACATAATTGTCTACTTTACATCTCGGTGAATTTTGACAACGCCAAGCTCTCAATGGTGCTTATTGACCCCAGCGCTTCATTCAACATCATGAATTTAAGAATGCTTGTTTATTTGGACATTGATGCTTATAGGTTAATGACAAACAAGATGATATTATGCAGCTTCAATCAACAAGGAGAAAGAGTTATGGGTTCAACCACACTATTTCTGAGAATCGATAATTTGGTAGTAACAAAAAAATTCCATGTCATAGACTTTGAGATGTCCTTCAATGCTCTTTTGGACAACCATGGATTCATGAACACAAGATGATTCCCTCATCGCTACATCAACACATCAAGTACTAGTACGAGGGACAAGAATGTTATATCAAATGTGATCTACAACTGTTTTAGGTACACGAGACCGACATAAACGAAGATGTTGCATACTACTCCCTATTGAAAAATACAATTTTCTTCAAGGACATGGTGATAAATGTAGAAGAAAAGGACAAAAATAGGAAAATGAAAGTAGAAGATGAGGAAGAAGAAAAGAAAGTCAAGGAATAACATGTTGTAATGCAACTGAAGGGTAGAGACTCTCATAAAACTCACATCCGAGGTCGAGATCGAGATCGGGGACAAGGACAAGGGAGAGAAAACCCAACCGTTGAAATGAAAGAGGCTTGAAAATCAACATTAGCTTGGACTCGAGTTATGCGAAAGAAAATAGAAAAAGAGAACAATGATGGTGATTCTGAAGGACCCACAATTCAAAATATCACTCGAGGACGAGGAAGAGAAGAAAGAATGTGAGTCCATGTATGAAAGGATCAATCAATAACTTCAATTTCTTTAAATAAAATTGAGAGTTTGGTGGTCAAAGAAGTACAAAATGAGGGAAAAAACCCATCAAGTTCCATCTCGATTATTCTTCTTCAAGTTTTGAAACAAATGTAAAACTAGAAGAAGAAAATTTCTTAAAATTAATGGACGTTATTCTCCTTATGTTCAGAAACTTGTTTGACATGGTTTGATACCAAAATAATGCTTTACATGCTGATCCCAATTTTTTGAATAATTTTGGAGCAATAAGCAACAAAATCTCAATGCAAAAGAAAGTGTTGAATTTGGTACAACATGACCTTTGAATGACACGAAATTTTTCTTTGTTGTTACAGAAGAACCTGATAATTCCGAGGAGCCTTCAATTAAAGACGCATGACCAAAATTTGAAGAAGCAATCTTCTCTCTGATTGAATCTTCATGACCTATTTTAACTTCTTTTTACTTACACTCCCCCGACACCAAAAATAAATAGACTGTTCTAATTAACTACATCATTAAGGGTACGTTTGGGGGATTATTTGTTGATTGTGCGTTTTGAAAACACAACCATTCAGTTTGGTTTGAGCTTTCGAGTGCCCCCCGTAAAACGCACAATCTCCTTTCTACAATATCGCGGTTCGCACCTAACGTACCACGATCGAGCGTTTCAAAGGGTTTTTACATTACTTACCCCTCCGCCTCCTCTGCTTTCTGTAGTTAGTGCCCTAACGTTCCTCACTCGCTTTTTCCCATTTCGTGCCCTAACGTTCCTCGCTCTGAGAAGAGGAGATCTATATCTATCGCGCTCTACTGTCGTACTCTGAGGAGATCAGACACTTTCTTCCCTCTTCTCCCATTCGATCCGATCGTTCTGTAAGTTGTTGTCCTTTGGTTACCGTAAGAATCAAGAGTTTTGTATGCACGAATTCGATTATCTATAGTGGTCCATAACTAGCATTTGGATTTTTTTTTATGCCTTATCGTTGAATTTTTTCAATTATTGTTTCTTCTTGAAAGATTTCTTGAAAAAAGTAAAGTAGAGGGGGGGGGGGGGGGGGGGGTTTCGGTGCGGGGAATGGGGAGAAGAAGATGTCCAGGGGAAGGACTTGCCATGAGAGAGGTGGGTATGATTTTGGGTACTTTGATTAGAGGTTTTTGGGATTTATGATAGTAACATCATACCCGTGTTTGGATCGGTATATCCATGCACTTGATCTTACCTTTCTGTTAAAACGATGAAACAATGTTTTGGGGTTGTTGGGATTTATTTGTTGGGATTTACAGTGTGGTTGTTACATATGCTAAATGTTTTGGGATTTAACAGTATGGTTGTTACATACGATGAGCAAATAATTTTGGGATTTACAGCATTTACAATGCGGTTGTTACATATGCTTTTGGGATTTACAGTACGGTTGTTACATAAGCACAAACCAAACAGCTGCAGCTTATCCATAACAGGGGCAGTTTGGTCATTTATTCAAAATCTTGCACAAACCAAACAAACAGACATATTATCCGGATCAGCTGCTTATCACCAGATTATCAGGATAAACAGCTTATTAGGATAAGCTAGATAAGCTGCAACTGCCCCAAACATACCCTAAGTCTAGTTTGATTGTTTCAAATTCACAAAAAGAAAAAAAAATAAAATCCTAATGCATAAATAAAAAAAAAATAAAACTAAATTTTGTTGGAGATTTCAGAGGTGAAAAGTTTATACTCTTATGACATCGGTCTGGTGATTCTCGATGTTTTACTTACGAGTTTCCTACGTTGTTGTTGACAATCAAGATAAATCCTCCTTAGCCTATATGTAAGTTATAAGAAGCATTGAAAATCTGTATTACTGTTAAGGGGGTTTAACCATGCGAGATTTCTCAATAATCTTTTAATCCTTTATCTAGGTTGCACTTTATAATTGACAATATTATGTTCCACTAAGTGAACGTGTGTTAACTTATTTGTTTTTCTAGTTAATAGTTAGAAGTCCCAAATCATAGGAGATTTTAACTTTCTAATTAGCAAAATCAAGAGTAAACTAAAAACATAAAGTTAAAATATCAACATATGAAATCATTCGATGCGTTAGATGTCAACGATCGCATTAAATGACTTAAATACACGTCGAGGCGCTTGAGTGCCATAAATAGTGATGGCTTGTCATTGGGTACGAGTTTTATCACATGCAGGGTTGCACCGCCAACTTTGGAGAAGTGACACATAACAACCTTTTGCAATTTCGTGCTTGGCTAGTTGATTACGCTCGGGCAAGGAAAAAATAATAATAATAAAAAAACTTTGGAAAAAGGCAACGACCTAAAAAATGAGCGAAAAATAAAGACATCAATAATTTTCAAATACAACCTCAATGGCTGAGTAATGCTCCTGCAACTACCGTTTACGACATTTATAACCAACTACCATTGTTACAGTGTATAACAACAGTTTATGTGACCAACTACTTTTATTACAACCTCCAATTATGACATATGAGGTTAACCTCTGTTATTTCAACGACCGACTATAATCTTTATGACAAATGACTATAATTGTAACAATTAAGTATGACCTTTGTGACCAATAAATTCCATATTCTATAATTTAGGGGAAAAACTGACATGTGTACTTATAATTATATACTGAATTATTTTGCTAGGTATAGACCGCGTGATTTTTTCATTTCTAGGGATTTACACGTAAAAATTTTGATGTATTCTGCGATATATATATATATATATATATATATATATATATATATATATATATTATATATATACACGTCGCTAACTCAGATCAGTTGGTCGGACATCTACTTGTCAGTTGTAAGTCCTATATGGTCTGGAGTTCGATTCTCTCTGAGTGTAATGTGTGGTACTTGAATTATTAGACACATTAGGGATAACCGTGACTCGTATAATAGCCTCAGACCACTCTTTTAATATATATAGATTAGATTTTCATATAACACTAAAATATTAAATTATCACTCTATTATCTTGAATCTTCGAACTCATAAAATATATAAATATTAAAATTTAAGTATTAAATATTTAATTACATAACAAATTTATGAAATGCTTTTTTATTTTTAAAGTTTCTTGCAGCTCCCCCACCCAATAGCCTATCATCAGAAAATCACGGCTCAGCGAAACACCGGTGACCCCATAGCCATTATTCTAAGAATATTCACGCAAGCCCGAAGAATTTTAATTTCACCTTCAGTCACACGATTTTGGTTCTCGCTTCGTCGCCACGCTGATCCCGACACCTTGCCTGTTCCAATCCATGAAACCTTTAACCATTTGTGGTTTTCATTAAAACCCCCGCTTCTTAAAATATTTGCATAAAATTACAGCTACTCCAGTCTCCATCTTCAGGGCTATATGAAAGCTTACTTTTCTTTGTTTAGATTTTTTCGTGATAATTTTCTGCATTTTCACCATTCTCCTCTCCAGATCCGAAGGAAAATATTACAGGTGAAGATAAGGCTGGTTTTGGGCCTCAGGGACGCTTCTTCTGCCTTCATCCGCGCAGGTGAACGAGCAGTTTGCCCCAAATTTTGTCTCACTTCTTCTTGCTTTAAGCTCCCCTGATAAACTTCTTCTGATTAATATCTTCCATTGATTAGTGTTTTTTTTTCTTTCTTGTTTACATGGGCTGACAAGCTTAGTAATGTCCTGTCTGTGGAAATTGCGTCTGCAAGGACAAGGGTTGGTTTCCATATAGTGATATATGATGGATTACTGTTTTGATGTGCTCTGCATTGGTTGCCATCGATGAAGTGCTTGCTGTTCTCTTTCTTTTATTATTATTATTATTTTTTTATGGGGTTGGAGTTTGCTGGGTTTTAAGGGTAAGAGCTAGTTTGGGTGCGCATCTTTCATTTGTCTGTTTGCTTTTATTTTGTTTGTTTCAGCAATAATGGGCTGTAATCGGTGACGTCGAATTTTTTCTGTTCGGCTGATTAATGATTCGGGTTGCTGTGCCTGTTGGGGTACAGTAAGCATTTTTTTTTTCTTTCTCTTGATTTCAACCTAAAGGCGTATTTTCTTGCTTGAAGTTAGAAAACATGCGATTGATAACAGATGAATTTGTAAGATTCTGCAGTTATAATTCAATACGGATTTTCAACTATACAAGTACCAACAAAATTCCGTAAAAAATGAGGATTCTATTTTCACACTCAAAATGAATGTGAATAAAATGATCTGTTCGTAAAACCTGCATTTTAAACGAGCCGAACAAAATTTAAGAAGCGGTAAAAAAATGCCAATTAATTCGCCACTGAATCAATAATGGTGTTTAGTTTTAAAAATCCAATTTATAAGATGAAATCATATCGTTTTGCACAGTATTTTGTTTTTGGATAAGATTCGTCTATGGTTTTTTTATAAAACATTGGGACTCACTATTTAAATAGTTGCTCTAAATTTATTAGGAAAATTCTCTCCACGGCTGCCTGCTCATTGTGTTTCGATTGGTGCTCATGAGTTCTATGGGTCTTAGCTTCATGAAATAACTTGTCCTCATTTGAGATTTTAACCTCATTGTATGAAGCTACGACCAATATAGAGTTAGGGTGATAGATACACACAACTAGGTGTGTAAACGAGGCAGGTCAACCTTGATCTTGAGCCACCCTTGGTTGGAGAATGAGCTTGATTAATTAATCGAGTTTGATCTTGAGCTCGAGCTTCACTATACGCGTTTAAGCTAGCTTGTTTATTATAAAAGAGAAAAAAAAATATTAATTCAAGCTAATATTATAATAAAATGATAAATAATATAAACAATTAAGATATAATAATACGAAATCACTTTGTATAAGATATATATTATTATTTTAAGTATTTTTAATAAGTTGAAGATAAAATCCTTAGTCTATAATATTTATATTAATTTTTTTTTTTTAATGAGCCGGTTCACGAGCTAACGAGTCAAGTTGGGGCTAGCTTGAGCTTGGCTTGTTAGCTTATTGAGCTCAACTCATGAGCCATTTATCAATCTGGGTCTGATAGTTCATGAATTTGCTTGGCTTGGCTGCACCGCTACACACAAATTCTACTTGGGTGCATTTGCAAAGAGGTTGTTCTATGACTGGAATATGGGATCTCTAGTTTAGAGTTGATATAATTTAATAAATCTGTTTTCTCTGTATATATTAAGTTTCAAATTTTGCTTTTATGTTTGTTTGATCAACGAGCTAACACTAATTGTAACTCATTCAGGCTTACAGGATTGAAATGTTGATGTTTTCTGGGATTCAGAAGTTGCTTTTATATCTTCTAGTTCTCTCTTTTATTTTGCTATGTTCGGTAGAGATTGTTTTATCAGGTTTTACTAGTTCTTTCATCCGTTCTGAGTGGCCATCTAAAGACATACCATTGGATAGTCCAGAGTTTTCAGTTCCAGAGGGTTATAATGCCCCACAACAGGTAATTCCTTCTAGCCTTCATATGCTTGTTAGTAAATCATTTATTCTCGTTTTTTGATTCACTCATGAAACAATTGTTTGCACGGTATTCTGCTTATTCCTCACAAATTCATACTAATTCTGCTTGAGTTGAAATTTATGTTTGGTTTTTCCTTTGCTATTCCTGTGTCAGCTGAAATTACTTGTAGTATTCTCTCTCCATCTCCCCTCTCTTCTCTTTCTCTCCAAATAAATGAAGTAAGCGAAGTTTTTCTCTTCTCTAATATCTTCATTGTTTGAAAAATGCTTCATTTTAACCGTTCTTTAACGAATCAATTTTAGACAGAACTCACATTTTTTTGTTCCATCCCGCCGCTTCTATGATTTTGCCATTAGTTTATGGCCTTTTTGATCACTATTATTGGCCTTATTCCAATTATTTTGGGGTATGCTTTATGGACACTCATTCTCCAGTTCTTACTAAGTGCATGACACTGGATGTGAGAATTCCCATATCACCGCAGCTCCCAACATGCGAATCCCACAATCGCCGGAGTAATAGGCTCGAGAGATCAGCTTTTTATTTATTCTCTATTTGCAACAAATTTTCTTTTATTTCCCTTTCTTTTTGGGTTCTTTCTCACTTCTCTGTTTCTAATTACGTTAATTTCTATTATGTGAATTTTATATTGTTGATATCTTAGCTATTTTGGAACCTTATCTTCATTTTATGTATTATGAGTGATTTTCTTTGATATATGGTATCCTGAGTGATGCATCCTCTTCTTATTACAAGTGATGTCTGTAGCTTGTTTAGGAACAGACGCTAGATCACCCTTCCCGCACGCACCTCGCCGTTTCATCACTTTTCTGCCGTTTTGAGACGTACAACTGTTGAAACTGCTATCACCTGCTGTTTACTGCAAGGAACTGCCGTTTTCCCACTTCCGGTTTGCTGTCCAGCATCTGCTCGCACCAAATTTCAGCCGCCATCCATCCTCCCACTACTGTTACCCATCCTACAATTTCACTGACGCCTTTTGGTGCCCTCTCACACCTTCTAGGAGAACTAGAATTATATTTTTTGCTATTCGAGCCGGCCAAGAATTCGGTTGGAAGAACAAGATGCCATGCCACCAGGAGAAACCCTCAATGAAGTGATCATGAAATTACCATGGAGGACATGCAACAGGAAGTCCTCCAAGTGAAGTGGAGACTCGTTGAGTTTGAAAAAAGATAGTATGGGGAAGTCAACCACAACAACAACAACGATCACCCGGATGTAGGAGGTTAAGAAAAGACTTTTCACCAAGAAGCTTCGAGTGACGAAGAGCCGATGCCGCGTCAGTTCGATATTGAGTATAGGAGGAGAGGGTGATTTTTAAGTAAATGTGAATTATTAGATTTTGACGGTCGTATGGCAGGCAAGTTTATTGAATGAATTCAGACGGTGGAACGTGCCTTTGAGTATGAGGACATCCCACATGACAGAAGGATAAAGCTACCCACTATCAAGTTAAAAAAGAGTGCGTCTCTTTGGTGGGAAAATTGGAAGTGCATACATCAACGTGAAGGAAAATACAAAATTGCTACCTAATTTAAGATAAAAAGAGAGATGCAACGTAAGTATCTACCAACACATTACAAATAATATATATTTTTGATATTTCATCACTTATAACAGAAAGATTTCAGTAGAAGAGTACACAACTAAATTTGTCCAACTTATGTTGAAATGTGAATTGGTGGATCCCAAGGGGAAGACCATAGCTTGATATCTATAGGAATTGAGCCCCTCCATTGACGTTGTACAGTCACAACATATTGGGTATTATAAGATGCCCATACTTTAGCTCTAAAGGTGAACAGGCAAATAGGATTCGACCTCCAAATCGTGTAACAAGAACACACCAACCAGTTTACCTAGATCCACCTCTTGAGAAGAGAAATCAACACAAGAGGGAAAGATGAATGACCAAACCAACACCTTGAAATGTTTTTGGCTATGAAGTGTTTCAACTATCATGCTTACAGGCACATTACATCCAACTATCTAAACAGGAGAGTGATTTGTTTTATCGAGCATGGTTAAGTGGAGGAGGTAGAGAATGAAGACCTAGAAGAGGAGAATGGAGATGAGTACCTACTACTTGCAGATGACAGTTAGTTGCTCGTGATTCGAAAAGTTCACCAGACCGAACCTATTAGAGATCAACAATGGCTCAGGCATAACATCTTTTGTACCTACTGTGCTGTAAGAGAAATGTGTGTAGTCTCATTATAGATGGAGGCATTTATGAGAATATGGTATCTACACATATTGTGTTTCAAATGAGTCTCACTATGCCGCATTCCTAGCCATACTCTTTTATTTGATTAGAGAAAGGAAATGAGATTTTTGTTGATAGAAGATTTCTAGTGGAATTTATAATTGGAAATAAGCCGCAGGATCAAGTTTGGGGAGATGTCATCTCTATGGATGCGTGCCACATTGTGTTGGTCCGACTTTGACAATATGATAGGGGTATGTTTCATGATGGCTACAGAAACACCTACATATTTAATAAAGGTGGGAATCATATTATACTTTTGTCATTAGAAGAGTTAGCAGTGTTTGGTACTCACATCAGGATATGTTGGGATGAAAAAATGAATTCGCTCAATTCACAATCAAATCACACTGCATAAAAACACATCGATTCAAGAGATCCGGAATAAAAATTGAACACAAGCGCACAACACAAGAAATTATGAAAATGCACAAGAGTTAACGTGGAATAACCTAATAACACGAAAAAATTACAGAGCCATATCACATCAAAAATTTCAGAATAAAATGAGGAGAAATATACAAATCACACCACATTTAGAGTTCCCCTCCACAAGTCTAGAACTCCCAAACGCTCCTCTCTTGATTGCACAAGAACAAACCGTAGAAATCCAACACAACTCGCTGCACCCTCGCTCTGTCCCACTCTTGTTACATGCAATGCTGAGAGGTATCTTCCTCATATAGAAGTTGAGGATTTAAATCATGATCGGAAGCTCCTGACACTTGAGCGCCACTCCTGAGCGTAACCTTTCCACTTGCTTTGTCTGGAGTCACTCTTCTGGGCACTTGATCTCCCGTCGTGGGTGTTGAGTTTCTGGCATTTTTGTTTCCAAATCTGGAAACAATTATACCTTGGTGCAGTTGAGCCCCTTCTTGGGCACATGACTTCCAAGAATTTTGGGTGCCTGGGCACCCTTATTATCATCAGGTCGTCAGTCCATTGGACATGGGCACTGGTTTTTATTGCAGGGCTTTCAGCCTAATCGGGTTTGACACACTAACATGATAGAAGCCATACTGCCTCATGCTACATTCCTACAAATCATGATATGCACCCATGAACCTGACCTTAGTGATGCTAGAAGATAGTGATAAGGGGGAGCCATTATTTGAGATAGTGCGACCCTTACTAGAAGAATTTCAAAATGTTTTGATGGACAATATGCTACTCAGACTATCACTCTTAAGAGAGATTCAAAATGCTATAAACCTTATCTTATGATTAGTGATCTCCAATTGACTAACCTTTTTAGAATAGAACCCAAGATAGTTTTTATTGATACAAAGAGGGCTATATATACCCATTACAATATCAACTAGAAAGGAAAAAAATAAACTTAGGATATGATAGAAAGGAAAAGAAATAAAACTAAATATAATAGAAAAAGGACATAAATCAAAGGAAATAACTCAGAATAATTAAAATTAAATAACAACAATTACTAACTATTAAAATATTCTTATACTCTCCCTTAAGTTTAAACATAGACGTCAATCATGTTCAACTTGGATTTGAAATCATCAAATAGTGGTCGGGGAATATTCATTGTGAGTATATCTGCCAGTTGGCTATTGGATGACATAAACAGAATGCAATTTCCTCGGACTCGAGTTTTTCCTTTATGAAGTGTTGGTCAATCTCTACGTGCTTGTTGTGATCATGCTGTACCAGATTGTGAGTAATGCTAATGGTTGCCTTGTTATTACAAAACAATTATAGGGGAACAGAGACTAACTTACACAGTTCTCTGAGCATGATGCGTAACCAGCGAACCTCATAAATTCTTAGTGACATAGATCGAAATTTTGCTTCAGCACTACTTCGGGCAACCACTGACTGCTTTTTACTTTTCCACGTGACAATGTTTCTCCACACAAATGAGCAGTACCTCGAGATAGATTGCTGATTATGGCGGATCCTACCCAATCAACATATGTGAAAATAACAATATTGCGAGAGGTGTGACAAAAAAAATACAAACCTGAGCCTGGTGTTTCTTTTAAATAATGGAGAATTTGGTGGACAGCTTGGTGACGGTGCTCATAGGGGTCATGCATGAATTAACTTACTATCCCAACTATGTGGCATATGTCGGGGCGTCTATAGAGAAATTATTTGAGTTTCTTCACAAGGCGCTGATAGCGAGTCTTATTTACAGAAATTGTCTCGGGAACATCAAGAAACTTTTCATTTGAATCCATCGGGATAGCTACCAGTTTGCACAAAAGAAGATTGTTCTCTGTCAAAAGGTCAATGACATTTCCGCTAGGACAGACAAATACCATAAGATGACTGAGAAACTTCCACATCTAAGAAATACTGAAGAGATCACAAGTTCTTCATCTCAAAGAATATAACAAAAATGCCTTTTAGAGATTCCAATGCTAGTAGATCATTCTCTGTGAGTACAATATCATCGACATAAATGATAACGATAGCTACCTAGTTGCTGGAGGAATGTTAGAAGAAGATTGCGTGGTTTGATTGAGCCTGAGTGAATCCATGACCCTCCACAACCTTTGTGAACTTCTTGAATCATGCTCGCGGTGATTGCTTCAGTATATAGAGGGATTTTCACAGTCAACATTCTTGCCCTTGGGAGGTAGTGGAGTCAAAGCCCAGGAAGAGCCATGTAAATCTTTTTTTAAGATTACCGTTTAGGAATGCATTTTTGACATTAAGCTGAAAT